TCAAAGTTGAAACACCTTATAATGGATTCTAGGTAAGATTTTTGTGATAGGCAAAGCATGCAATTCTCACAGTTATGAGTAACCTCAATTCCTAATAGCCAGTGTAGTTCCCCTAGATCAGTGACCTCAACATAGGTCCATATCTTGTCCTTGAGCTGTTTAATAAGGTCCATTGATGTAGCTGTGAGGGTGCAGTCATCAACATGGACTACAATGATGGTGAGCTCATCAGGTACAGTGCATGAGAAAAACACAGCTTGGTTGACATTGCATTGTGTGAGTCCAATCTTTTCCACTAAAATCTCAACTAGCTTCTGATACCATCTTCTTCCACTCTGCTTTAGTCCATACAAAGTCTTTCATAATTTGCAGACCTTGGTCAGTTGCACTTTCAACTCAAAACCCAGGGGTTGGTGCATATATATCACTTCCTCTCTACTGAGTTCTCCATTCAGATAGGCCCCTTTTATGTCAATTTGGTGAAGTTCCAGGTCTAATCGTGCTGCAAGGGCTAGAGTCATTCGAATGGAGGAGAGATTGGCTACAGGTGCATAAGTGTCAAAATAATCCACCCCAGGGACTTGTGAATATCCCTGTGCAACTAATTGAGCTTTGTAGTGGACAATATTTCCAGTGACATCTTTCTTTGCCTGGAAAACCCACTTGGAACCAACAAGATTTGCACCATTTGGAAGGTCTGCAAGTTCCCATGTGCCTGCAGTCTGGAGGGCAGCCAGTTCTTCAAGGATGCCAGCTTCCCATTGCAGCCAGTCAGGGCACCATTTGGCTTCAGCTAATGAGGTAGGTTCAAGTGCTTCTGCTTCAGCCATGAATTGAACTAAGGATAAGACAAGCTCAGCTGGATCATCATCCTCAAGCAGAGACATTAGCTGCTTGGCTGCATTCTCCCCCTCAATTCCTGCTTCCTCAACAACTTGGTGTAAGGTGTGTGGTAGCTGAACACCTCTTGGTATGGTGCCATTTCCCTCAATAATGTCAAGTACTCACTGACTTGGCTTCCTGACTCTTCTAGCAACCATTTTGAGTGTCGGCAAGGTCAAAAGGACAGGGATTTTTGAAGGGATCGGATGGACTTTGGGAGTTTCTGGCATTGTTTTTGGCTTGTTAAGCATCACTGCAGGGGTCTGTGCAGGAGGTGAGTAAGTCTGTGTCATTATCATCGCATTAGGAATTAAGTCTTCCTCCCCCTTGCAAGGGAACAACACACTATCTGCAGTGTCCCAGTAGACATTGCATTCAACTGTGACTCTGTGTTTCACAGGCCAGAATACTCAGCACCTGTTCTTGCTAGCATCATCTATGCCCACCCATCATCCTTCCTCTACTTGACCTCCAAGCTTGTCACCATCCTTGATGCATACCCATACTCTCGAGCCCCAGGGTCTCACTCGTTGTAGATCCAGCTTTGTTCCAGTGGCTGCTCAAGGGGCATACCACCATCTAGGGCTTGTGTTGGTGTGTGGTTCTTTAACCATACTGCATGCCTTACAGCCTCTCCCCAAAGGGTGTGTGGTAAGCCACTTTCATGGAGCATAGCTTGTACCTTCTCTACCAGTGTGCAGTTAATCCATTCAGCAACACTGTTATGTTGTGGCATATCATGGACAGTGAGTTTTTGCTTCATTCCTGCAGCTTTGAGATGAATGCTGAAGGTTTTACCCAGGTACTCCCCTCCCTGGTCAGAGTGTAGTGCCTTGACCTTTGCATTGTGCTGGGTCTCACACCATGCCTCAAACTCTTTGTAGGCATTGAAAGTGTCACTTTTTCAGCAGAGGAGGTGCAGGTAAGTAAGGCAAGTTTTATCGTCTGTAAAGCTGATATAGTACATGCAACCTCCAAGGGTGGCAACAGGTGTGGGTCCCCAGAGGTCGCTATGAACCCCTTCAGCAAACTTGCTCACTTGCTCCCCTTCACAAACTTTCTTGACAGGCTTTTGTGTGGCTTTGGCATAGACACATGATTTGCAGAAGGTAGGTTCTCCTGACGATAGGTCAACTTTGATACCAGACACTAACCCATTTTCAGCAAGTCTTCAAGCAGCACTGGGTGCGATGTGCCCCCTGTGCCTATGGAGTTCCATCACAGTAACTGTTTCTATTGCAGCATGTATGCTTCCACTGCTCTCATCATGTACTACACAGTATAACCCCTTGGATGTCTTTGGAATCTGCCTGATGACTTCTTTGGTGGGGTCTTGAAGGATACATTTTCCATCCATGAAGGTTGCTGAATAGCTGAGCTTGTCAAGGCATCCGATAGAGACAAGCATATATCCCACTTCAGGTGAGGAAAGAACTTCAGTGAGGCAAAGTTTGGACACATCGACACCATTCAGTACTTCTATAATCATCTCACCAATTCCTACAGCATTAAACAACTGTTTGTTTGCAGCTGTGGATGATTTTGGAGGAATGGTGGAGAGAGTGTCAAAGTTCCCTTTGAATGGGGAGATATGGTGCATAGAGCTGGAGTCATATAGTTCAACAATGGGTCCATCACCTTTGGCCTTGGGACTGACTTCAGCAGCTACTTTGCCATCAGTCTCGGCTTGCTCATTGTCACTGAAACTTCCAATAGGAGTCCAGTTGGGATTGTCTAAGGAGGCAGCATCTTCTCCTACTTCAGAGAAATGATCATCATCTTCTGACATAGCACTGAGGAGGGGATTGTTATTGTAGGAGGTTTCAGATAGGGTGAGCAAGTCTGGTACTGAGTTCTCAGTCTCAAAATCTGACAGTTCATCAATAGCAAAGATGCTGTCACTCTCAGAATCAGAGTCAGCAGCTGCATGGGCAGACCCTTGTGTGGTGCGGTTGGTTCCTGCAGACTGACTTTTGTCTGGTTCAGGGCACTTCACCTTGAAGTGCTCTTGCAAACCACAGTTCCAGCAAGGTGGGCAGGGTCTGTTAGCCCCACCTTGTCCTCCATGATGTGAGCCTCTGTAACCTCCCCTGTTTCCGCATCCATGGGAGGACGAGTCTGTGGCTGCCATGGCCTCATCAGTGCCATGTGTTTTGGCACCATTGGTTTGTGTCATGCAGGTGTCCTTTCTGTTGCAACATTCAGACTCTTCAATGATCAATGAGATCAGGATGTCAGGGTCAATAGTTTGGGTGGGACTGTAGAGTCAGGCTATGGCAAGTTGTCTGGAGGCAAAAGCAGCCAAATGGTTAGGAAGGGACTGGATTATAGTTGACCAGTAATCTTTTTCTTCTATCTGGACTCCTACTGCTGACAATTCATCACGCTTGGCATGAAGCTCATCAAAGAACATGTGCACATCTCCTCCACCTGGACACTTCGACTCTAAAAACTTGGTACAGAGGTCAGTCTGCACATAAGCACCCTTCTCAGTGTATTCACGCACAATCTCCTTCCACATTGTGACAACATCAGACAAGTTCCACACATGTAACACAGTAGAATCAGGGATACACTGGGTAAGCAAGTGTTTTGCAAGGTTTTTGTGTTTCTGCCACTGAGTGAGTGCTATGGGGTCAGGAGGAGATATGGTGGTCATTCCCCCAGACATCATGGATGGTCTGACAGGCCTTGGATTAGTTCCATCAAATTGTTTCCATAAGTCCTTTGCTTCAACAGTGATCTGGAAGCACAGCGAGAATATCACCCAGTTGGTGCCTTTGATATTGAGTTTAGGCACATTTGTAGGCAGGGTATCCATGGTGATGGGCACAGTAGTAGACATTGTGTATAGCAGCTTTTGGCAATTGAAATGTGTGAGATGTTGAGCTCCTTCAGAACTCAGGGCTCATAACCTGTGAAAGTTATAACAGCCTCGCGTGGATCTGTAACAATCAGATACTCTCAGTTGTGCATGCAAAGGCAAACGTCTGAGGTGTTAGTCCAAATCTGTAGCTAACTAAATAGCTCACATGCTCTTGTGCGAGTGAATAAGTATCTGAGACTTGTAACAAAAGACGTAAGGCGCTGGCCCATGAGATCAATGGATTCTGTAAGTACAAAGGAAAACAAATAAAGATTCAGTATTATAATGGTAAATGGTGTAACAAGAACATATAAGACAGGCAAAAGACAATAATGGGAACATACAAGATGGACAATGAACACTTCTCAGCTGCAGCATGCTTGCCATTCCAACACCTTGTCATATCTGCATATCCAGGATCTCAGATCCGACCCTTATCTCTTCTCAGATCCACATCTTATCTCCAATCCTATCTGCATCTTATCTCCCTCCAACATCTCATCATTCAACCTGTCTACTTGTCTGGTCTGGTCCACAACTCATCCGAATCCACAACCAGTGCTTGTCCCCTTTCAGTAACCCCCTAACTCCGGTATTTCGGTTATCTGTATATCCATCCTGCTCCCTTATCCACTACCTATGTTTCATTTCCGTTTCATGATTTGTGATCCATTTCTACTTACCAATAGACTATCCACATGCTTCATACATAGCCTCGGACTCTGCTGATTGATCATTCCATTAGATACCTATAGTATATAACCTCCTGTAACTTTCTGTAGTACCTGAGTTCAAATATCATCTTAGTTCTACTCATTCCTGTCCTCTGGACTTGAGTATCTCTACTCTTGTCACCCTCCGAGACTTGGGATTGATTCCTATAGTCTATCCATATCCACCTCTGTCTCCGACAGTCCACTACCATTAGTTTCTAGTCTGGACTCATCCAGATTAGCCCTACGATACTTATCCCTCATCCGGAAGTCATCCGGATCCATTACGCTACTTGTCCGACCTTCCGGACGCATTAGTCCTGCCTTCCTGAAATAAGGGGCAATACTCAGGTAAGGGGCACAGCACACAAGCTGAGGCCAAAGCCCTTCAGATCCAGTTATCCTTTGAATACGACCTTAACACACCTCCCATCAGTGTATTCAATATTTGGTGCTGGCTCAAAGAAGGCATATACTGGTGATGTCCATCCTTTCTGTAGTTGCGCTGATGGAAATGAAGGCTTATTAACATAATGATATTATACAGGGATAAATGACTTGCTGAGCTCGTCATCTGATGCCTCAGCATCTGATATGTCTGCTTCAGTACTTGTGTTGGATGATGAGTCAACAATGATAGCATTGGAAGAGGTATTGTCCTCCTCCTCTGTTTGTACAGCAGCTCATCAGCTCACAGTGTGAGAAGTGGGGTTTGTAGCGACTGATTCTTCAGATGTCGAAGGATTGTTCTTCAATGCTGAAGGTTTTTTCTTTTGTTTTTTGCCCTGCGAAAGTTCTTGGCTACTTGCACTAATCTTCCATTTCAGCTTTTGGCCACCCTCTGCAAGAGCCTGTGCTGCCTTTTCTGTCAGTTTTGTAACACGCTTGCTGAACATTGTGGTGGATGGAGATATGGTGGGCTTCTCAAAGTTGAACTTCGAAATCTGTGAGAGCTTTGTTTGTAGTGACTGAAATAAGGTTATCTTGATGCTGTATAGTTTTAATATATGTACCATGTGCAAAACCACCATTTTTGGTGTGATGGGTATGGTACCTTGCTTGATGGGTGGGGGGTACCCAGTGTGTCTACCTGCACCCATACCCATGAGGTACCCTTACCTGTGACCCAGGTGGGTTACCCCTACCCATGCCAATCCCTATATGCTTGTATCACTACTTACTTGCACCTGCCCTAAACCTTCCATAGTTGTTCCCTATAAATACATGACTCTTACCACTGTAGTTCTTTACTTTAATCTTACTAGGTTTTACCTGGAACTTCCTTCACTTAGGACCACCAATCCTAAGTTGTCTGAATCATACTTTAAGTCAGAGGCACTCCCTCTGTCTTAGCTTACCTCGAATGTTTGGCTTATCACTGAACATAGATTCTCAGCAGAGGTCCTGACTCTTATCAAGGCATCTGTCATTAGAACTATCCTAGTTCATAACACAATACTCCTGCTGATGCACCTTATTGCCTTAACAGATTAAATTGTTCCCTAGGGCTAACACAGTGATCACAACAACTATCTGCAATTGAGATGACACAATTGTGCAATGAAATCCATTCCAGACATCATATCATATTTATGAGTCAGTAGTTGCAATGACTCATCACACAGAAGTAATGCTGCCAATTCCAGTATGAATAAGAGGGTTGTCAAATCACCCTTGTACCATTAGTTGTTGGCTACAGAGGTTACCCTTATAATACTCTACACCTTAACATGTCATAATTTCACTAATGGTAGTTATTAGTCCTTAATAAGGTGAATATAAGACTTGACAGCAAAATTTGGATTTCAGTGATCTACATGACATCAAAGCAAGCCCTAGACAGTTCCGGCCGTGGCGCAAGGCACTTTTCGACACTATGACATAGAACCGGTGTCTCCAAGGTGTCCATGAAATTGGTCCAAGGCTAGTTCAAGTTCGAAGATATCCCCGCGTGCGATATACCCTGCACGGGCCTTTCCAGACTCGAACGGAACCCTATGAGTGCTCGATGTGCCACGAAGAGAAAAAAAAATAGCTGGATGCCAGCGGTTTCATCCATCCATGTGATTCTTAGACGCTCATTGACATGTAATTCCAGATCAAGGCTCGGTAGATGCCTTGCGGTCGCATGCGAAGATGGCAACTCAAATGGGAAAGAGCTTCCCGATTATACCACGCGAAAGAAAGGCCTAGGGTGCTGCCAATGACTCTGATTTGGCAATACATTAAACTGGCGAGACTGTGACGCAAGTTCTCATCCGGATAGTGCCTGACTCGGATGAGTCCGTACTTAGATAGCGCTGGATACATGCGACTATGATTGGCATGGAGTCATTAAACAGACTTCCCCATTCGACCCGGTAGGTGCCTGTCGGTAGTACGATATGCACGAGAAGCCTTATCAGTCGCACAAACCAACGTGCAAGACAGAAGATACGGATCAATGCGACTCAGGGTTCACTATCGGGTAGATGGCGTCAGAGGGCTCATTAATTGACAATAGGAGTACTAACATATGCCTCGAAACTTAACCTCTTCATTGGCTCGTGGAGCAGGATGATCGTTAGCCGCTGAACGGCTAAAGTATTTGGTTTGTGTAGGGTCGTATCAGCGCACTTTGACATTTGACACTGGGCACTCAGCGTGTGGATACCATTGATTGATAGGCAGACTGCTTTTCTTGTCCTAAATATCCCGTCAGACGATAATCGCATGTGCCAGCAGCTCAGCGCAGAATGGCACCTAAAGGTACCGCCCTTGTCGATAATAAGGGTTCGAAAATGTAAGTGGGCCCTATAGCACAGAACCACCGAGTCTTCTTGGGCGCCTGGAACAGGGTGATGATTAATGTTTGGTTGCCGGTGCATGTTGATGATTGGTCGATACATTGCAGCCGTAAAGTATTACACGCGGGATCATATCAGTGTACATTTGAATTCGAGAACGAGCGCTCACCATGTAAAACAGTTGATGACCTGGCAGACTAATCGCCTTTCACATTCCCCCAACGATGATTTCACTCCAAATTCAGAGCGTTGCGCTCGGATGAAGAATGACTCGAAATATTGTTTTTGGAGAGGATGACTCCATATTTAATATAATCGATGAACACAGGCTATGCATTTCAACAAAGGACTCCAAGTTCAACCCACGTCAGCGCTCCAAAGTAACACTAAAACATATTAATGGTGTGGGGTATCATGCGTGGAGTCACATCAAAGCAAATTAGAAAGATATTCGACACTGATTAATGAGTACCGCTCACTGTGAAGATACCAGTAATAACTGGGTCAGACGATAACACAAAACGAGATGCCATCACATCAAACATGCAACCTTCAATACCGCTGCCAATGTCTTGAAGATGGCGTGTTCGATGTGGTGGTGAACACCATGCCGCAGTGAGCTAATGATCAACGTGAAGTTCAACATCTCAGATCTCAACAGCGGCCCTCCGATTGCGTTTCACTCTCGAGTTGATCTCATGGAGACAAAAGTGAAATGTCAGTACAGAAAAAATGGCATTGTACCGACACACCGAGCTGACTCTTTGTGATGGAACTTGAAGCTTGAACGGAGAATGTTTCCCATAGGAAACGTTAGGATGGCATGTTGATCTACAAGACGAAGATGCATTGTGGGCACATTGGCAGAATCAAAAAAAAAAAAACGTAGAAAACGACAAATTACAAACTGCGCACACGCCACAAGTTACAACCGCTTTCTTCCGGCGATTATGGGCAACACATTCTCCCTCGCTCGACTAGCACTAGCCGAATTCCTCGACAACCTCCAGACCTTCCAAACTCTCCAAGCACGCATCCAGAGCTCTCCAGGGCTCCCACTCCCAAATCCCAGTCGTTCATTCTGGTCCTACCCACCCTCCCCCATCGCCACTCATGTTTCCCAGCTCCCCGCACATGCCAACTTTGTCGTTATTGGCTCGGGTATTACTGGGACGTCGGTTGTGAGGAGGCTTTTGGATAGCGCAAGTGCTGAGGGGCATGATGTTAGAGTTGTTATGTTGGAAGCGAGAGATGCGTGTTCTGGGGCGACTGGGAGGTAAATCTCGTATCGACTCTTTCGTAAAGTAGCGGACTAACATCCTCAATAGAAACGGAGGGCATATCTCACCACCTCTATATCATGATTACACCTCGCTCAAGCGTGATCACGGACAAGTTGTAGCTCAAAAAATGATTAAATTGAGGTTGGCGCATCTCGAGGAGTTACGAAGCGTCGCAGAGCAGGAAGGCGTTCTTGCAGAATCTCAGTGGCGAGAGGTAGAATCTGTAGATGTGTTTTATAACTCGGAAATGTTCGAGAAGGCGAAGACAAAGGTCCAGACGTATAAAGCAGACCTTCCCTTCGAAGCTGAGCACCATGAGGTGTACGAAGCAAAAGAGGCTATCGAGGTACGTTTTACGACACGGTCATAGAAGAGAAACTTATGCTTCGGGCCAGAAATACCGCCTGGCATCTGATACGCTGGGTTGCATATCTTCCAGCGCAGGCGCAATCCATCCATACCAATTCGTGACTGGAATCCTCGCAAAGCTTCTATCACGATACCCCGAGCGGTAAATGACCCCCTCTTCCCATCGAAACCAATGAAACTGACCTACCACCCACAGCTTCTCACTCTGTACCAATACACCATGCACCTCCATCTCACCTCCAACACATTCTAACCCCTACTACACCCTCTCCACCTCCCGCGGGATCATCACAACCCCACACATCATCCACGCAACCAACGGCTGGGCAGCAACCCTCCTCGAAAAGTTGCGCGGTAAAATCATCCCTTTCCGAGGTAACATGTCAGCCCAACGCCCCGGACAATCCCTCCCTATTCCCGATTCCAATCCCGCCACCCACCGCTCGTTCGTCTTCTACACCCGACCAATAGGGTATGACTACCTCACCCAACTCCCCACAGGAGAACGCGAGCTCATGCTAGGCGGCGGATTCGCGCAAGACGGGGACGAAGGATACGAAGCGATGGGAAACACGGACGATACGACGTATAGCACACGTATCGGGGCGCATTTATCTGGTGTGCTTCCTAGGTATTTTGGGGAGAATAATTGGGGGAGGGAGGGGGTGCCTTTGGAGGGGGGCGAAGGGGAGTGGGCAGAGGGACGCGTCAAGGCGTTGTGGAGTGGTATTTTGGGCATTTCGGCGGATTTGATACCTTGGGTTGGCCGTTTGCCGCGTGTGATATCTGGAAGGAGCGAGCCACCATTGAGTTCGGTTGTGAAAAGTGAGAAAGGGGAGGGGATGCATGTGGGTGCTGCGCCGGGAGAATGGATCGCAGCTGGGTATTCAGGCGAGGGGATGGTGCATGCATGGTTAAGTGGGAAGGCGCTGGCAGATATGGTGTTGGGACGGGAAGTGGAGGGCAAGCTTGGGGAGTGGTTCCCGGATATTATGAGAGTTACTGAGAAGAGGTGGAAAAAGGCAAAGGCGGAGAATTTACTGGATGCGTTGGATGATTAGCGTGCGTGTAATATATATTATATTCCACTTCAAGTTGTGATGCAACGTCTTTCGAGAATATCTGAGAAGTTGATCTTGCGCAGGAATCCTCAAAAGACATGACAGAGATACGAAATCCTAAGGGAAGAGGTCAACGAGAGCAATACAAGCAACTCGAGATGTCCGAGACGGAAAGAAGCAGTGACAACAACGCCGGTGACTCAGAAATATCCCAGAGGCTAGTCTCACCACCAATCCGATTCTCATGCGCAAGGTGCACCCTGCACGATCAATGTATGGCTGGAACAGGCGAGCGTCGTTGTGAACCATCGGAAAGGTAGCCTTGCTGACACTTCTCAGTTCTGTCGCTGCCAAAATGCACGATACACCAAATTGTCGAAATCTCTCATGAGAAGCGCCTACTTCGAATTCGATTCATCTTACACGCCGATGTACCTCCATGATATCGAAGTATCATCGTACATGGCTATAAATACATATCTATATCATGCCGCGTCACTCACCCCCTTGGGTTGATAGCCGTTTTGTTGTCTACAATTGCAGAGCACCGTGAGCCCCCCCTCGCTGTTCATTCTAATCTATACTTCCTTTCCTCATATATACGCCTGCGCGCCAAGCATGTGCGACACATCCATATCCATATTCTCTGT